CACGGTGACCGGCTGTGTTTAACAGCAGGTGAGGGCGGGGGGAAACTGCTGGAGCATGACAGGGAGTAAAGAGAGAAACTGCTTCCAGATCAGCTCATTACACACACACACACACACACACACACACACACACACACACACACACACACACACACTCTTCGAATCAATAATTTTTCAAATGAGGATTTATTTTTATTTTTTAATAACCATTTTTCCTCCTGGTCTCTCGCGCCCCCTGTCATGCCTCTTTGCCCCCCACTTTGGGAACCACTGCTTTAATGCAACAGTTCTATTGTCCAGAAAATACGCTTATTATATATAAAGTTAACATTTTAAGACTTGAGGCTCTGTGCCAGACTGTTGAGCTCCTGCGACAGCGCTGTGACTGTATCCAGAATCCGCTGTTTGTCCTTCTCCTCTAAACGAGCTTCACAGCGCTGGGCAAACTTGTCAGGATGCCACAGCACTTGCTGCTTCAGGAGCATTTTACGGAACACCGGCACGTCGTTCCTGTCCACGCCGTGCAGCATCACATCCAGCATATCCTGCACGGTGCCTCGTGGAGCCGGCCAGGGGATGTCGCTGTAGCTCAGCTTTGTGTCTTTAGACGAAGAGCCACCATCAAAAGTAGCCGCGCACTTTTCATCGTACGTGCGCTTTTTACCCAGTTTAGTCTCTTCCTCTTTACGTTTGGCTCGTGCCAGGTACTCTTCGTGTTCCCTCTGCAGCTTCTCGTGCAGCTCCTTGTGGCTCTGCGCCTCCTGCTCTCTCTCTTGATCACTCTTCTTTTTCTTTTTCCACCCAGAAGACGAAGCTGCCAGTCTCTGAGTTTCAGCGATCTTCTTATCATAATAATCTCTTCTAATACGGTCAGCCCAGTCCCCAAAGTCTTCCTCATCATCATCGACAGGAAGATAATCATCAGCTGTGAATCAAGAACAGCTGTGTTATGATCAAGTCAAAACTGCTAGAATCAAATCCAGCCTTAAAGAAAGACATGAATGTACCATCATACACACCAAAGGTTTCATGGAACTCATCCACGCATTCCCCAAACAGCTTTTCGATCCACTCCTTCTGGGGGTCTTTTTCAGATGGACGACTCATGTTTTCAGCAGCCTGAAGAATATAAGGTCATATATGTAAAAATGATCCTTAACTAACAAACTTTTTGCTCTTTAGACATCGGATAACACATTTAATACAGCTTAATTGAATTGTCTTTATTACCAATTAGATACATTGGTGTATATTATGAAAATAAACAGAGAATATATTTTTGTCAAATAAACTGAATTTTCATGGGAAATTATGTAAGAATAAATTGCTAACAAAAATAGATTAATCACATGAGCGTTATAGAAAGCATCAATAAAGATACTTTTGCATTTTGGGCTTTTGATCAGGAAAAACAAGCTATTTAAAAATCTGGCACTGGGACAACTTTTCATAGCAACTATCAAAACACAGCACTATCAAATGTTTCCAAATGTCTAATTTACCTTTGTTTGTTTCCTCCAGTCCAGCAGGTCTTGAGGTGTGACTCCAGCATTGTTGGGAGTATCCAAAGCTTCTGGACAACTGTTTTGGAGAGGCTCTACTAGGTCATTATACGCTGCAGGGAAACATGTAAGATATTTAGGTTGACATTCTTAATCATCATATACACAAGAATTACATGAAAGCGTTAGTTTCAGAGTGTTAGGCTCCAACAATGCATAATTATGTTAATAAAAAATAAATAAACAAATTAAAATCACACAGGAAGTCAAATCCTGGTTCTCCTACAACTTCCTCAAACGTAACAGTGATAAATCTGAGGTTCTCCTCATTGGAACCAAATCCACCCTCACAAACCTGACAGTTTCTCCATTTCCATCGACAACTCCTCAGTCTCACCCTCCCCTCAGGTTAAGAGGGTCTGGCTGTCAGACTTTCCTTAAAAACTCACATCAGTAATGTCATTCGGTCTGCTTATTTCCATATACGTAACATCAACCTCCTCCGCCCGTCCTCCACGCATCGACTACAGCAACTCTCTTCTCTTTGGTCTCCCTCTCAAGTCCATCTACAACCTTCAACTGGTCCAAAACTCTGTCGTCACATCATCACCAGAATCCCCTCCTATAACCACATCACTCCTGTTCTTCAGCAACTTCCCCGGCTGCCTGGCGAATACCGTAACGATTTTAAGAGACCGCTCATCACCTTTAAGGCTATCCACAACCTCACTCCTCTGTACCTGTCCGACCTCCTGCACATCAACACACCCTCCTGCACTCTTAGGTCTTCTGCTTCCATCCACCTCACTGCACCACCCTTCTGCTTAACCACCATGGTGTCCAGAGCCTTCAGCCGCTCTCCACTGGACATCCGGAATATTGACTCTCTCGATTTTCAAATCACGTCTAAAAATATATCTCTTCACACTGGCATATCACCCTGATCACTACTCATGACACCTCTGTTCTTATTGATTATATTGTCTTGATTTTCTGCTAGTGTTTTGTTTTTGTTTTGTGTTTTTGTATCTTGTACAGCGAGTTGGCGACCTTGAGAGCCTTGAAAGGTGCCTATATAAATAAAATGCATTAGTATTATTATTACTTTACAGACTGCAGTGTAGCTTAAGCTATATATACACACACGTCATAATATAGCCGTTGAATACACTACATCAGCAAATAAACTAGTAACTAAAGCTGTGAAATAAATGTAGTTAAGTTCAAATAGGCTCACCTCTAAATGTTAATTAAGTACATTGGATCTTCTTTTCTCAAGTAAATAAGATAAGATATACCTTTATTGATCACTGTATGGAAATGCAGGTGTTATAGCAGTAAAAGAATGAGAGAGAAACACAGATAGTACACATTACATTACATTACATGTCACTTGTTAGACACTTTTACCCAAAGTTACTGACATAGGCCTACACTCAATATTGTGCGAAATTGCCACAGGAGCAATTTGGGGTGAAGCTACAGCCTCATACACAGGGATAATTAAAAGAAAAAAAACAATAAGAAGAAGTAACACCATGTAGTAACAGTATTAATAAAAATAACAAATGAATTTGGTTACATCCAACAATAAGAAATCATAGATGTATGTTAACAGAACGTAGTAAAGGTAGGCTATGTCCTATAAGCACTAAATATAGAGGTAACAGATACAGTTATAAATAGTATATAAGTCAATCACAGCTTCTTCACCGAGTCTCCCTCACCTGTATTGTTGTTTTTCAGAGCCTTGTTGACGGCTACGTGTAACACCGTGTCTCCTTTGCGGTTCTTCTGGAGGACATCGGCTCCGTGTCTGAGCAGCAGCCGCAGCGCAGCGTCGTCTCCCAGGCAGCAGGCGAGGTGCAGCGGGCTCCTCTCCCTCCGGCCGTGGGAGAAGTTCACATCCAGGTCCCGGTGCCTCCGGAGGTACGACTTCAGCTTCAGCACGCTGCCCTCCTCCACGTACCTCCACACGCGTTTCTGCTTGCGAGATAACATGAGTACTTCAGAGCAGACTGAAATAAAGGAGTTTAATTAGACGTGTTAGCTTCTGAAGGCCTAGCATCGCTTAGCATTGGCTAGTGGGGTCCGTCTCATAAATAACTCCGAAGATCGCCTCAGCTAGGACACTTAGGTTCCGGGGACAGAATGGTTCTGTTTTTGTCACTAGGTGTCAGCATTTACTATCTTTCTAAATCAGGAATTATTTTTCTTAATAAATTGTATACATACGTTTTCTAAAAGCATAAGCCGATCATATTAGACACACATTTAAAAACACAACAGACTTAACTGTATAACCTTTTCTCTTATAGCTAATAACACAATTCAAAATAGGGTAGTATGTTGAGTATATTCTATATTTTATTTTTAAATTAAATAACCTGTGTTTATTGACTTAGTAGGCCACTGTACCTGAACATTATGCCCTAAAATACTCTTTCCGTCTTTTAAAGCTGGTCAAAACAAAGCCACCATTCACAGTATGTATTTTGTGAGTGACGTTCTTCATTATTTCAGGACTCTGTTGACATCAGCCAGAATCAGATTTATTGGCTATTTGTTCTAATTTAAGGTATTTTACCCAGCGTTTGTTTATTTCAATTAATACTACATAAACAGAAATAAAAATGAGGCAAATAAATTAAGTTAAATTAAGCTAAACATGAGGACAAAAAGCTGAACAAAGGTTCAATAAATCAGAAGTATTGACACAGGTAAATGCACTATATAAAACCACAACAATATATTGAAACAGTAAAGCAATCGTGCTCAAAGGTTTGCAAAGGGTTGTACATAGCTTACTCAGTATTCATAAGCCTGTCTCTGGGTTTCTGGGCCTCCTTTCAACATGCCACCTGTCAGGAGGATGTCATAAAAAGAGTCATCTGTGTGCTTCTGTGTGTGGGTTTATACATCAGGAGTTAAAATGGTTCACTTTTTTAACTCCAAAAATGCATTCCAGTTACTCACAGTTATGTCATCTTGTACATTTCAAAAAAATGTTGGGTCATTACATTTCTTTTCTTTTTTAACAATTCCATGTGTTGTTGTGACACTTTGTGGGGGTGTAGTGAATGACAGCTGTCTGTAATCAAAAATGTAAAGATGTCCTGTACTATAGAACAGAGTTAAAATATTCATAAAGGGCCTTTATTTTAAAGCTCAACTAAGTAGAGATTACATGACATTCGTTTGTCTTTGAAAACAAATTCTTAATGTCTGACAACGTGTCTAGAGGGGAAATTGAGGTTACACATTTCAGAATCCAGCACCATCAACACATCAACATGATGTGATTAAAAGACACAGAAACACAGAGAGAGTCTGTGTGTGGCTGCAGGTTGTTGTTGTTAGAGACCTTTAAGATGTGGCTGCAATAACAGAGGAGACTTGGCAAAAATCCTTTTACTTTATTGTCTTGAATTCAGGGAAATTGCTGCATCAAACATCCCACATTTGCATTATTCACAGTTTCTAGAAAGTCTGCTCAACCCTAAATGATCACTTTAAGATGAAAGCTACTCTTTAACGCTCTTCACTACAGTGATTGTCTAAATCAATGCATCATGCGCCACACAGCCTCCCATGGTCGTGTTCTTGCGTAATCTCTTGCATGTGTGCTCCTCTGTGCAGCTATCTCTACCTGTGATGCTTAAGTGAGTGCAGCTGAGCTTCTGAACTGGCTCGCTCCTGCTCCAGATGACAGGGCATCCATTTAGGCTCGAGGGAGGGAAGGATGCACAATGGAGAGGATAGAGGAGGGAATAAAGGGACACTCTGTGCTCTGTGAAGAGGATGATCTTCTCCGAGACTCACAAAACCCAAGATCCGGAGTCACCCTAAAAGCTTCGGCACTTCCGCTCCTTTCTGCTGTCGGAAACGACGTGTCTCCACTAACGATGGCCGTCTTGTGTGAACGCCTTTGAAATGTTTGCCATCTCAGGAGAGAGAGAGTGAGGAGAGAAAAAGAGACATCTGACTTGTCACCTCAGGTGTTTGAGTCACCTGTTTGCCACTGTGTCTGCTTCGAGCTCTGGTGTTATTTGTCAAACATTCCTTATTGCTCCCCTTTGTCGCACAGAAGTGAGCCTCCATGTCCTGCAAGACCTCAGGAGGAGCAGGCGTCTCTATCTATGTCGCAGAGGGCCCCTAAATGCAGGGAGAAGCCTCTGAAAGACAGGATATCCCTATACTTTTCCTTTCCTGCCTGGCCTGAGGAGTCCTATCCTGTCCGTGTGGTCTGTCGTCCTCCTGGGACGATGCAGGGAGGAGCGCTGCGAGAGCGGGCGGCAGGAAGCTGAGGGTCCTTCAAGACGCTCCGGGGGTCAACACCTCATCCTACCACACTATGCTTGACCAGCCTCAAGGTCCGGTCTGATGGCCGTGCTGCGCAGCCTCCATTGTTAGAACGGAGATGAAATGTGTGCATACTTCCTGTGTCTATTTTCTGCCTGTTTATTGGGTTCTGATTTATGTGCTGCTAACACACAGGAGGCATGGCTGCAAGCCTGATTTAAAACAAGACAAAGGCTGTCTGATTTTCCATTGACAGACAATGAATGAGATAAGGTGGGCACTCCTATAGAAACTCGACCTTCTAAGCTTCGCCTGCGGTTTCTATTGATATGCGTTACACTGTAAACAAACAGTGTCCAGTCTGGGGATGATTTTGGGTTTGGCTTCTTTACAGTCTGCATTGTGCTGTGATGATAGATCACCTCCAAAGACCGATAGAGCTTTTCCATACATCTCTGTCCAGACTTAAAGGGTCAGTTCAGGAAATCAAAACCAAAATAACTACACACATATTGCATAAATTCCCCAGTTGGATCTGATTCAATGTGTTACATAATGAATTATGGTTAATGATGATATTACATTGCATATATTCTTTATTCCTTGTAGTTTTAATGTTTTGCACATTCTTTAGTCTGTATTTTTCATATTCCACCCTCTTCTTACAAAATCATTCCAACATGCCAAATCTGGCCACATACACAGTGCTTGACATGTGGAATGAAAATCACAATTTCCCTCGGAGTGGTTGAGTAGAGAGCTGAAGAATACATTACTTCAGTCACGGATTCATTTGAAACTCCAAATATTTCTCATGAAAACTGAGATTTTAGAACACTAAAAATGACCTAATTCAAAGTGTGTTACACATTTAGTATCACATTATCATTAATTGTTGAGTTAGGCAGATTTATATTCAAAGAAGCTCTTGTTTTGACAGGTATTAACTGCTGTCAACAAGAAACTATTATATAAATATAATTAGTGGTTGGAGTTTGTTATCTTTTGACATTTTATGGAGCTTTGATACATTTTCTCGGTGCTTGTCTCCGCAGATTCAGAACCAACTGTTGCTACCTTACAGATGCAGAGCACAATATCTCAGACACATAATCAATATGAAAAACATAGATGTTTTATATGTGTTTTAATGCTTTACAGGTTAAATGCAAGTATGCTTGTCAATGTCTGTTTTAAGAAATAACTTAGTCATTTCTTATTGAGGCAGAAGGAAGAGTGTTTATATCCTCAGGATTCCCCGAGGCAGCATGCTTCCCGTAGAGACACATTACATTTTCACACTCTGTTATTACAGAGGAATGAAAACATTTGTGTTATCATTTCTGAACATCATCTCAGACAAACACCAAACCTATTTAGGATCAAAGGTAATAAATCCCTTTTATTTTATCACGTATACAAGTTAGTTTTCAAGCTTTGGCAAAGTTCCTGCCATGAAATCTCGGTAACATGATCACATTAGCTTCATAAAACCCATGACATGAATCTATCCAGATTATCTTTCACAGCGGAAATTTACTTTGAAGCTGATGTATGGAGGGTAATGTGACAAGACATCGACTACAAAAATGCACTGTATGCTGTTTCACCAATAAAACATGTTGCTGGGCAGACACTGGAGTGCATGGATTGTGCCACTAATACATTTTCTATTGGACTGTTGTTATTGTTCTATGAGTGTATCTAGTTTTTCCCCACTTCTAAACATACAAATTCTAGACCCAATGTAGAGACATATTTCACACATTTTTGAATGTCTTTGTGTCTTGGCTCAGATGAGATTATAGAGCTGAGACAGCGATGAGAGAGACAGAGTGAATGTCACTGCAGCTGTTGGATTTATTTTCCCTCTGACAATGACATTTTCCCATTTCACCTTTATTCAATTAAATTAAAATGTACTTTTTCAATTAACGTTCAGCTTTTGTCACATTTTCTAAACCTCTACTTGCCATACTTAAAGGCACACTGTAGCACACTTTAATTGTAGGTAATTTAGACAATCTCTGTCACGGGTTTCAGGGACAGATAGTCTCATTACAAATCAGCACCCAAGGATTAGTCCAATCCCTATCTCCCTGCTGTTGCTGATTACATCCTGTAAAAAGCTCTTTAAAGTTAATATCGTTAAGTTCTCATGTAAAGCTCGGCAACCTGTTGAAAAGGAACAACAATTCATTCAACTATTCTCGATTTAACGACCCAGGATCTAATTTAGATGTATTTTTGGATGCATTGGTACAGAATAAAGAGACTAAAGTTATGGTAATCAACCCTTGAGACTTTACATTTTGCTGGGATAAAGCTAGATGTCCTCTGGTTGATCCAATTTAGAAAGTTTTGTGCTCAATAATTGTTTGTGTGATCGAGTTGTAAAGAGGAGGAGAAACAGGCATGCGGAAAGAGGGAAACAGAAGTCAAACTTGCATTTCCTGCTGACAAATGCTTTGATTTCAGCCCTGCGAAACACAATGGGACGGAGACTGCCTCCTGAAAGCAATGCACTAACAGGAAGAAGCACATTCACTGGATGGGAGAAAATACATTCCAGCAGCGAGACATAACAAGCGATCACAAGTGACGGAGAGAGACCAGACTGAGAGGATATTTGTGTTTTTTCAAATGACTTTTGTTTTTATTACAAATCATAAACAATCAATTCAAAATGACGTGTATTCACAAAATGCTTTCATGTATTTGCAGGGACAAATTCATTGTCATGCTGACGCTCATTGAACAGACTCATTCCTTCACAGAAAAACACAAACACACACACACACACACACACACACACACACACACACACACACACACACACACACACACACACACACACACACACACACACCAGCAGACTGTCAAAGCAGCCACCTTTTAATTGGG